CTTCCACAGCTCCAAAAATTTAGTCAGAAAAAATCAATAATGGGCCCATAGACGGCACAGAAGCCTGCCTTTCAATTTGGACAGCTACAACGGCAGATCTGTGAGCATCACACCGTCAATGTTGTTGTCTCGCCATCAAAACTTTGAGATGGAATAGGCGAGCCCCTGTCTGACAGATCGAGTAGATTTCATTATACATTTTCTTTGTTTCGTCCAAGCCGAAAACATTCAGGGAACTTACATTTTGTTCAGACATCATTTGCAGTTCTGCATATCAATGACACGGCTCCTACACAAAGTCTACACGGGAATGCAGGCCTTTTACCAATGAACGATACCTTAAAGGTGTTTCTAGGTTTCCAGGTACACTGCGACCGTAATTGGTTCAAAGAATCCTGGACAAATCGATGATGATAAAATGAGTAGTTCCTCGAAAAACTTTAAGTGCGATCTAAATCATAGACAAAGAATTGAAACTACAGACTTCTACGTATAAGAAAACATCGGATAGTCATCTGTATTTGCTGTTGTATATCCGGATGCGGTCCTCGTCAAGTGAAATACTAACCGTGGTTGTGGGTGGATTCAATTCGGGATGTGCTGTGAGGTGTAGACAACCCAAAAATGCTATTTCGATAAAAATGAACGCTTTTTTTTTGGTAGAAAGTCCATTGTTGGTAGAAAGAAATTGCCAATCGAATGTAAGCTAATGATCTACGCCATAAAAAAAAAAAACGCGGGGTGTTTTTCGTTTCCACTTATCTTATTTCAAAAATAATAGTGAACGGAATAAAGTCACGCAATGCTTAGATAGAACTGTTCGAGCCATTGGTACATCAACGTAATCCTGCAGATACCCATCGAGGATCATCAGCGAACGAAAAGTGGGCCATACAAATATCTCGTATATTGTTAGCGGCTTTACGGAGAACAGATTAAATATTCCCGTTAGTAAGCATAACGTTTTTATTCAACCTTTCCAAAATTCGGCAAAAAATAGACTATCCTTTAAACGATTTTCTGCACAAACATGAACAACAGTAATTTTCTTGTTATTTTTACATTAGTAAGTCAGGTACTGATAATGTATTGTGAAAATAGATTCGGGTTTGGTATAAACAGTTGTTGTACAGTTCCCATATGTGTGGAAATGGGCTTCGATAGCTTTTTCTTAACGGTCTGCCCTTGCCTTATCACGTGTTGTCCGCGGCATCAACAGCAGAACTGGGAGAAATTTCTTCAAAGCACCATTTTTTCCATAGGAAAGGGTCAGCGGAAAGTGAACGAGACACGTGGCAAGAAGACCATAAGCAGCCGCGTTCCGTTGTTGTTCCGTTATCACCCGCGCATCGCCCGTCGTCACAACCGTTATCCTCTCCCGTACGTTACGTATTTAGCGCAGGGGATTATTATATTCGTGTCCATTAATTAATTATAATTCTATAAGCGAGACAGCTAGTGTTCAACGAGTCTGTACGAACATTCACTAAAAAGATGCGAGTTTTGTTTAATAAAAATTTTCGCCTAGATAAATTGAGTTAGAAATAGCATGGCCATACCATTCAGTGCTGTGGTAAGTTTTTTTTATTCTATACAAGTTGTTTATTAAACATTTTCGATTCCTTCCATCAGGTGCTTGGACAGATAGTGTGATTACAAGATATCGCAAGATAAATACAAATCAAAACACTGCGCCCTTGTTTTCTATAATACGTATTACTTTTTTTTTAAACATATACTCTGTATACTTTTTAGTGAATTTTTTACTTAGTATTGCGTAATCGTAATACTCGGTGTGCGAAGGCGGTAGCCGTACTGTATATTTGCTACACATTAGCTAGCTGCTCCAGACAGAGGATATTGTCATCAACTTCACACATTAGTGGTTAGCTTAGCAATGTCAACATTCTCGTTACTACATAATTTTGCGAAAAAAAAAAAATAAATAAATAAAAAAAGAGATCAAATACACAAGGCCAGCCATATTTTACATAACAACAAATCTAGAATCAAGACAAAAACACGATCAGCGATTACAGGAAAGTTGGCATATATTTCTATTTACATTTGGTATGTAAAAATTAAATATTTCAAGTGGAAACATTTATTGCACCTTGCACACCTATTACCAAAGCGTAAGTATTATATAGATTATAGAAAGTTTCTATAATTTTTAAGCAATAGGCAGAGTGAATAGTGGGGATTAATAAACTGGCTCTTCCGAGTTACGTGAAGCCCATTGAACAATTGAGTAGCGTCGAATCCCTTCAATAGAACGAGAGGAAAATGGAACTCGTTTATTTGCTTAGGTCTACGGACGTATATATAGTCTTGAGGATATTATCCACGCATGTAGTTTCCGACTATTTCAATAAAACGTTAAACCCAAAAGGCACCAGCAGGACCCGTTGAAGTGTCAGTAGGATATTGACCGATATCTGATTTGGTGACAGTCTGACATCTGAGCTGGTTGATATTTGACCGTCTGAATGAAGACCGAGGAAGTGAGCTCCCTATATTTTCTGCCGTCCCTTTCGTCGAAGTAAACGACGATGAATTTCAAAGACGATAATTTTTTTCAACCTTTTTCTCCGTAATTTTACGGCACTTTGGCCAAGTTTCTGGTGTGCATCTAATCATCCGCTAGCAGTTTATTCTTCCCACAATTGGTACACTGGTAAGAAGAAGATACGCTTTGATGCGTCTAACGACGCGGTTCGTCAAGGTATGCCACGAATCCTCACAATTTCGTTTATCTTGTTTCTTCGACGCTGTAAACAAGCGTAACAGGATAAGAAATTGGCTATAGGCAACGATATGTACACGGTTACAGCTTAGAAGATCGAAAGTGCCAATATACAGTAAAGTTCGATATCGAGCAGCGATTTAAACAAAGCGAATTTTTCCAGTCGACATCTCGCATCGTCCAAGTTCTGCAGCGGCTGCGCCAGTTGGGTTACTTAGGTACATCTTTGTTGGGGTGATTGGCACTAGGCGAGTGATGTCTAGAAAGTTACCGCCATGGAAGTGATCAGTTAAAGTTATTCACGATTCTTCGTGTGGCTACTGTTTCTGTTGAGTATTGTTAAATGAAGTTGTAGGGCTGATCCGGCTTATAGCTAATGCTCTAAGCCAGAGACAATTATTATGGCAGTAGCATCAAAAGATCTTTGTCAATCGGCATTACTTTGGCTACTGTAAAAGGTACATTATTATTATTATTCGGTCGCATTAGAAGGAACTAAAGCCAATCACATTGCTACATATATTGCGACATGTGTATTCTGCGTATTTTTTTTTCATCCATGTACACGTAACAGGTTTAACAATAGCTGTTTATTCGATATGACAACGCACTAATTGCGCGTTTATGCAGACCTTCAGACATTAAATAGAATAGTTTACCTGTGGTAATTATACATTTCCGTCTATCTTAATGTTCTATATCGCTCGAAGAGGTTTTCTCTATGAGGGACCGGAAGGTCTGCTGTGGGCCAATTGTCGCCACTGCCCTGCATTTCTGCTGTCTTGACCCCATTTTAACCCATAAATTAGTTGGCGGAACTGAATGATCCCGCCATCGGTATGGGTCTCATTTCTATTCCATGGGACACTAGCCTGTTCACAACTCAAAATTTTTAAATGATGATGAAGTTTCTATTGTGATGGGATCTCAATACCAACAAACATAAGAAAATTTGCTTTGCCATCATCTTGCCCATATGCATCACCCCTTTCCTAATGATTGGCGCTGGATACTGATTTTTATGCATCATATTTATTCAGAAGAATCATTAGATACCGTTTACGTGTGTATAACTTAGTTCGAACCTAGTATTTCTAATGTATAGATTTTTCAACAACTACATATATGTTAGCATCCACCATCGTAGAGATATACATAATTTGTATCATGCATAGAGTTGTTCATTGAATAAAGGGATAGTTCTTTATCTGAATATTTCGCAGCACATCAAATAACGAACGGTACCAACCGTTAAAAATTAGCGTAATTCAGCCGGCACAAGTAATCCATTTGCGGCGTTCGGGCCCACAAGGACGTCCCGAGTCGTCCGAAACATGGCAAAAGTGAAGGGGCGGACCAGTCTAAAATGTAAACGGCCAATGTTTCAACTTTTCTTTGTAATTACATCTCTGACTATAATGCACAAAGAAAGGATGCCCATAGTCTGACTCTGTATTGCTCGGCAATGAATACAGTAAAATGAAAATTATCTCTGACGGCTTTTTTCATACAGCTTAGCAAATAGAAAAAAAAAAAATAAGAGTTTCCAACGGTCAAATAACGCTAAAACTTCATTTGAACGCTTATAATGAATGGCATCCCATAGCCCTTGGTAAATAGAAATCTTGAAAAGCTCTTTATGGCACACTCCAGACGTTGGATGTATTCTCTTGCCAACAAAATGAACGCTTCCTCTACAGTTTACACAGTGTAAATCCGAAGATCGACTATAATAGTAAAAATGCTATCAATACCGAATACTTCCAGCGGTTTAAGTTAGAAAAAATCTTCGAGACATGCTAAAATTCAGGAACAATGCAACTTGCGGCCTGCTTTAAAGCTGAAAAGATCTCAATGTTTTTATGTACGTGTTGCAAGGGATCAAGACGCACTTTTAACTTTCGCAACTATCTCAACTCCATTAAAAAAGTATATGTTGTAGATATTTTACTTGCGTGCTCAGTATTTTGCCGGTCGTCTTCCACCTTTGAGGTAACGCTGCAGGCAAATAGTTATATTGTCGTGACCATGATCCTTATTTTGAAGCAGGCAAAAATACAAATCACTTGAAGAATATTGAGGCGTACTGGGTTTGGAACTTCGCCTCTTTTCGAATTTAATTTCAATATTCTTTTTACCGAGGGGTCATCCTCTATATCGCTTTCACGTAAATATTTGTCACTCCAATGAGAAGACAATACGAATATAGTTAAAAAAAAAAAAAAAAAAAAACAAGTAACGGCAAAACACAAACCATTCTGCTAGCCATGCGTTAACACGAGTCCTTAATGTAGCATTTACCAGACCGGTCATCGTAGTTTGAGACACCGAGTACACATTCATCGCGTACGTTCTCTACGAACACCACAAGTACGAAATGTAGAAAGCAGTCACTGTAGTCTTTATTGGGCGTGTATTATGTCCACAATGTAGTTTAAGATAAACATGATCTATTTCGACCAGCCTTTGCTACAACAGGTCTTACGCCGAACGAAACTTGTAAGGTAACCTTTTTAGCAAGACGGGTCTTGCTGTATAAACGCAATCGTTTTCATTGAACATACAAACGTGTGTCTATCGTGCAAGGTTGTCACGTGCCTAAATGTAAAATACGATCGGGTACTTTTCCTTAATTATTAGAATACACTAGTACTTTGAAACTGAATCACACGAACTCTCACAACCGTTGAACGTACTGCATTGCATAACAAAATAACGGTGCACTAGGACTTTTATCGATCTAGACACGATTTTTACGAACTAGCTACAAGAACTCGTCGTTCCACCGCTCTGATAATGCTAATAATGGACGCGGCTGTCCTTTGCTCGACGCAAGATTCAATTTTCTCGATAGATGTTGTATTATGTCCAGCCAGCTAAGTAGCTTTAGCTCCTTCCGCTAGCCGAAACAGCCGCCGTCTAATAGTCCGTAAAGCACCGTCCAATACCAACAGAGGCAATAGCGTCTAACGTATTTTCATTTGAATCGTTGCTCGTATCTTGTACCTAATCCGTATCTGGTGTTTGTGCCCATACATGACATGGCCTGTCTATTGCGGTACGACGTTTGTTGTCTCTGCGATCGGATCACTACTTTGTTATCTAGCCACTCTGTGCTGCAGCAGATAGTGATGCGCTGCACCGTCCGACCCGGGCTGCTAGCCCCGCGCGCGCGACATCGGGGACATCCTCAGCCCACGCCCTCAGAAGGAGTAAACCCACCACTGGCTCTTCGTCTGCGTTCATACATTCATATACATGTACTATCTTTGTTGTACATCATTTATCAAGATTGTGGCGGTTCCCGTAATATATGATGCCCGCCATTTAACTGCGTTGCATATATACAGTACGTAGGGCGTGTACTACTAGCTGCACACAGTCGATAGCAGTAGTAACCGCGGACGACAGACGAACTCGACTTGCTTCGCTTGAAATTGTCGTCGATTTCACGGTTTGGTCTATAGCGGCATTACCTTGAGCTGATGTGGCGATGTCAACAATGACAAACGTCGCCGTTGTTTTTACGTAAACAACGCAGCATTGGGAGTAGCGTCCCTGGGGATAGGCCGCCCCACAGCCTCCGCCACCGCCCAATGACATGGCCATCGTGCGCGTCGAATCACCAACGGCAGCAAGTGACGATCTACTATGACCTACAGTCTACGTATGAGCACAGCGAGATCTTCATAAGCACGCGATTTCATGGGCGCGCATAGATAAAGACGAGACTTTAGGGAAAGTTCTTGCCGTTGCTGCTACTGCTGCCGCCGCCATCATCGTCACCGCCTCAATTTCGCTGTCAGTGCTCAAATGAATCATATGTTGCCCGTCCGCTCATTTTACGATACAGTCGTATAAGATGAACCGATTTGTGTATGTGCGTGTCGATACGCCAAATTGTGTGGGCTTTCGTGACGGCTGGCGTGACATCATTTGTATACGAAGGGTGGTGGACGCTCAATTGTAGAGAAAGAAGTGTGGTCCTGATATACGAGAAACGGTCTTCGGCTTAGCAGCCACCCGTTTCCCTAGCAGAGACTTCGTCAGCTTTCTTCAGTGTCTATCTTGCCAGCGATCGACTCGACAAAGCTAAATTGTGTTGTACGGAATCAATTTCGGAACGTTTCCCGCCAGGATCGAGACGATAGGTGAAATTTCTCAAAAAGATCTCAAAGTGAGAGACAAGAAGTTTTATTTAATTCTCAAGAGTTGGACACTTTATAATACGGCACTCGTCCGATAATGTTTGTGGTCGACTTTTTAAGGTGGTAGCGTGCATTGTGCACGTGTTTGTAGCACAAGCCTTTACGACACAATATGTCTTGCCAATCAAAACTATCACGTTTGTCGAAGATGAATCTGGCAGATTCTCTTTCTGGCGACAGCCGTATGGAACTTGAACTGTCAATGGGCTACCTTCAACAAATTGGTATGTAACGATTATTCCGAAGCCTATTAAAACACCTGATGCTTGTCGTTTACTGTCGAGGCATTTTCAACACTTCTTCAACTACTTCATCGCGATGGCCAATCTGAGTATATATATATCTACAATCCAACATTTTGCTTGAACTGAAGCCCATTAACTAACATGTGACTCTAAGGATGATGAAAATGAGAAACCAGCTGCATGTACTTTTCACCATTTAAGACATTTATATTTTTTTATTGGATATGAAAATGATCACAGTTACGTGATCGAATCAAGGGCGATTCGTAACTATTGGCTAAAATGTTCAATTAGTTAGAGTGTATAATTTTTAAAATCCCAACTTTCGATAGCTCTCGACCGGTGCGTCGGGGCCATAGCAATGTAAAAAAACCTAAAAAGAAAAAAAGCGGGCAAAAAGTTAGTAGGTGGCCGTAAAGATTTTAAAAGAGTATCCCTGAACCGCATGTTATTCTATGTACCAGTGGTACTATTGATGTTAGTATCGTCTATCATCGCATGTATCGGTGTACAAAAAATGTGTGCACGTCTATCTATCTAATTGCTATTCGTATTACTTGTTCCAAGGGATTTTCTGCGAAGGCAGCTTCGCCATTTATAATCAACAAATAAGAAGATGACTAGAAAGAAAGACAGCCATCAACAGAAAATTTGCTTTTTTCTAACTTGCTTTCATCATATCGAAAGGGGCAAGGGCTCTTCCATCATGAAGGAAACTCATCTCCTGTTACAGACGTCTAATTGCCCCTCAGGGTCCGTCGTATATCTCATCAGTATACCGATATTCGTACAATATGCTCACATAATAGGGCCTTCAGTACGCATATCCGTATCAAGCCACCGACTTGTTTTCCTGGTCGATAACTTCTGGATAACGCAAATTTGTCCCGTCGTGTAGGTATATGCAAGCATATACTAATAATATAACATGGCACCGTTTCGACTTAGTAAGCAAAGACTTAATTACCTCAAGTGAAGTAGAACACATGTATAAGTTTGAGCTTATACATGTGTTCCACTTCAAAAAAGTATGTGTATAGGCCATTGTTTTCAACGAAAACGATCTAGTCAATAGATCTATTACCGAGATCACTTTCATAGAGATCCGTCTATAGTAAAAACAAAACTCACATGCGAAACCATTAGGTAGATAGTGTCGCCAACCGGCTCGAGTGCGTTTTGAAATGTAAATACCTCTAGGGGTGATCCGTTGTACATATCGTCTGCACGTTAGTTCTCATCCGACGTCAGCCTATGCTCCATCAGCGCAGTATCCTCAAACTGATATGCCCCCACACCATGGGCAGTCAGTCGAATTCAGCACCGCTGAACAGCGGCGATATTGGTAAAACAGAAAAAGCGATTTTTTTTATTGTCTTATCTCGCTATAATGATTCCTTCTATAACTGCTATCGAGAGTAGTTAGTACTTCAGGATGCATCTCAGTAATGTCTTTTTGTTGTCCTGCTACCGATGTACGATCTGTCTAGAAGCATAAATTAATATTGTACATTTTAATGGCCAACGAACATATTTTTAAGGAAGGAAGCAAGCATATAAAATTAACTAAAACCTAGTCGTTATTATATACGACTTACAAACTAAATATCTGACACTGCATAAGAACGCCTCTCGATTACAGATTAAACTCCTAATATGTAATAAATAATAATAAAAATTGATCAAGCAGCATATCGCACCAACGAGGTCCTATTCTGTAGCGTAGGATTGCAAAACATGACCGCTACTCACTCTTAATAGCTGTTGATAGGCTTATTCGTATAGATACATGAAGGTATAGGAAGATCTTCAAACGAAAAATGTCTACGACCTACGTTACATTCTAAGGATCAAAGCGAGCGTAAATGCGTTATTGCGGATTGTATGTATGTGAGCAGCGTTCTTAAGCTACAAACGTCTGTTAAATGAGAATCTATTATTCCTTGACATTGTAGTCGTCAGTCGAAGACGACGATTTCGCTAGCCGCGTTTTTTCTGTATGCTATTTCTCATGCACACTCTTCTGTAAGTAGAATGGGTGTTTTCGTGTGTTCACCATCACAAATCTAAACACCCTCAGGAAGGAACCAGGGTTTTTTTTTCTTTCGTTTGCAAAAACGGTTCCGAAAGAACAACGTGGACGACACTCAGTTTTCGTTCAGTGTTTCAATTCTGCCAGACACGTTCATCAGCGAATAACAATTTGAGCAGGGTCCTGGTTGCAGCGGTGGGTCTCTATTTCGATCAGCAGTTCATAATCACCCGTCCTGAAACACCTCATGAACGTTGATTATGCAGGATGCTGCCATTGAAATCGGGTCATCGATCAGAGTTTCCATCCAGAAACTAGGGATGGGTACACCTCCGTTAGCCGACCCATATATATATATATATATACCTGTATATATTTCGCGATAGTAAATTTTGCTCTAATGGTCATTTTAGGCCATCGCTGGTGCCACCGCTACTTCCTGCCACGCTGGTTGGTTGATAATTTTTCCAATAAATCTCCAAATGGATGGAAAACGATAACGGGCGGAAGACTTGCGCGATCTAGAAGTGCAATTCGCCATTTAGTCGACAGCTGGCTAAAGAACCAGCTATTTATTAGCGGCGAAAGTTCAAAAGTCTTCGTAGTTGACGCGTGTCCGTATTGCCTAAATGTAGTAGTACTCGGACGGACGCAAAGTAAACTACGATAGCTCAAGTAAATTAATAGGGCCAATACAGAACATAAACATTTCCTTTCTTTTTGTCACTATACGTTTGCTATTGCAATCACGTTTTCGAAATTATCTTAGGTTTCCTACCTAGCTTGTAGACGAAACGAGACGATTTTCTGCAGTTCTTCAAAATGGTATTACGTATGCTCGTTACGTACATAGAAGATTGATACAGATGCAATTTATGTTTTCAAGTGTGCTAACGTTATAGAATTCTATAGAAAAATGTTTACTACTTTCTATTTCTCCTCTAAGTTTTTCGATGTAACGCTGTTTACAAGTGAAAAATATATGTAAACAATTTTTTTTAACAAAACACGCGCATACAAAATTTCGAGCCCAGCTTACTGTTAGCAATTACGAATCCCTAATTGTCAGTAGAATATGGGAATTATAGTAAATCGGCGTCACTGCTTATCTACAAATCCTAAACGTAATTTGGAAATGTAAAATCACTTCCGGTAAAAATTCAATTTATTTCTTTAGAATCAAGTGGCGACCTCTATATGTCTACTATACAATCGGCTGTGGATCGTTTTGTTGTTTTTGGCATCCAAAGTGCTATTGTAATTACTTTATACGCAGGATGAACAGAGACGATGACACTGTCAACATTTCGCTTCTGGGTTCAAGAAGGAGATATTAGAAAAAAAAAAAACCAGAATGAAAACTAAATACAAATCATAATAAGTAACGGATGCAACTGAATCGAAGTCGTATAGAGGAAAGGTCATTATAAATTTACTCTGGCATGAAATCGTTTGTTGTTCTTATACTGGAATATCTGAAGTTTATAGTTTTGCTATAGAGCTTTTCAGAATACAAATTTTTGTTAGCAAATTTTTTATCCTATACACACAAAATATCATTTTCAATTATATCGAAGATTGGTTTACTATAAACTTTCATTGCATTTACCAATGCTGTTCGATGCTTGCTGTGATAAATGGAAAAACAAGTATTATGACGTCATTTTCCGAGCTTAGCGAGAAAAGAGTTCTCAAGATAAACTCTTTTAGAGAGTTACTACAGCCGCAGAGCATCGAATCCAATACGAAATCTGATCATTTACGCAGTGATTATCATTCATTTTTGCTTATTATTATTAAATTTTATATATATTTTACAATGGAGATCATTCTGAATTTAGGGAACGGGCATGTTCTGCTGCCTTTTTTTTGCTATGTTAGATATCATTTTTTGATGTTCTCCAGGATATCAAGCTTATTTTCGAAAACGGATACCTGCTTTAATCATATGACTGTATAGAAGATCGTTTAACGTAAGCGTGCTTCATGTTTTCGCCACAAATCAGCTGGCAGTCGACGTTTCTCCGTTAAATCATGACCTATAGTTCGCAGATCATGACATTTGTCCATAGAAGATGCAAAACCGCCCAACGGCAATTCGCTTCCCAGGCTTGAACTCTGGGTGGCTCACATATTGACGCATCCATTCGACGGAGTGTTCGCTCAAAATGTTCGTAATTGGAACTAAGCAAAATGATCATATATCGATGCCACTTTCATCTGAAAAACCATGCTTCATCTTTTTTGTTTTACTCCGTTGAACACCCCCCCAGGGGTATGATTTGCTGCATTGGCGACTGCTTCTGCATGCAAGCATACGTACATCGTACCTAAAGCAAGTTGACCGCACCCATCTGGTACGTGCGATGGTTGCCCGTTCATTTTCCCGCCCATTTTGTTAGGCCCCTTCTTTCCGCACTCCTTCGACGTCCGAGGACTATAATAAAGACATAATTTCGCGCCTCTGGTAAATAGCGTAATAGGTGGCGTCTCGGCTGCCCATGCCACAGCGGTTCCGCATGCACCCGTCACCGCACTCGTTTCTTTTTGCAGACATCCGTAAATCGCCGCAATTAAGGATAATTACACGGCTAACCTTAATCTTTTCGCGCATCACATAAGAACATTCAATGCGCAACCGATAAATAGTCTTCGACCCTACCGCTTCTGACTGAGTATTCAGTGCAGCCGACATCGGCTTGAGCCAGCAGCTGCTGCTACTGCGGCTGTCGGCCTATTTTTTTTTTTTTTTTCTATCTATTTGCCTTTGTCTGTGAGTCCACTGGTCCCCTTAGTCCTGCGTACGCAACTCCTGTATGGGCGACGTGGCGGCCTTGACCCGCATTAGTGCTCGCGCTCTCCACCAGCCCGAGAAGTTAAATCAGATGATCAATGAGGCTTCCTTTCATCTTAAAGAATAAATCAAGAGAAAAAAGCCAGTCTAATGACTATTTTTCTGCTGTTTTTTGGTTGTGCGCTAAGCGTGACGAGTCAGGGGTGGCGATCGGTAATTTTAGTTGGAGGTTTTGAAGATAAAGGGTAAGCAAAAAATGTGAGCGTCAGCTGGTCTGTTCACGACACCTGATGTTCCCTTAGTCATATTTAGATCGAGCACACGACGAAAATTATCACTTCTGTAGATGACGCCCACAGTGAAACAGAAGCCTAAAATGATGACGCTAGTTGCAGGTAGCGAGCGAGGTCCCAGAATGACTCTGGGAACCTGAATTATGATTTTTTAGTAAACAATGAATTCGTTTTGACCGATAGTTACACCAAAAAAATGATACCTGCCTAGCTTGGCTTACGTTTACTTAGGACAACGCCAATGTTATTATTACGGGGCTGGTCTTGTCATAGACTATGTAGCGGATGTACCCGCAGTCGATTTTTTTGGGTGGTCTCCTCCAACATAATCGTAGACGCAGGTGCTGTTGACCGTAGACACAGTTCTGTAAAATGCAGTAGTTGTATGTAGCGTTTTCAAGCAGCGATATGATGCAGTGCTTTGAAAGGCTTGAAGGCGCTGCAATAATATGAATCAGAAATGTACCTGAAGACGGAAAACTTCGACGTAAAGATGTTGCTTTATGCATTTAAACGAAGCGGTAGCGAGAGAAGTAAAAATATCACTGAACTTTAATGGTACTAAATATTATTATAAAATGCATTATTATATTGTGCTTTAATTGAATGCAAAATTGATTCTACATCCAGTCCTTATGTATGGCGTGATAGATAATAATACAACGAACTATTATAATAATGATATAACAAGCAAAAAATATCATTGGGACAACTTAGTATACCATAAATTATTTCTATGGCCGGCTTTAGACCCAACGAAAACTCTGCTAGATCTTGGAGGCTTGGATAAGGTTCAAAACCTGGCAAGCAAGCGAAATGTCATATTTAAATACCTGAATTCTACATTTAACACAGTTCGGTGTCTTCATCTTACTGCACACTGTAGATATTTACACCTTGTATTGCAGATATTGAACATGCAAACGCTCTTTCTGTCAAAAATTAATGACAAAGTTTTTGTCAAAAAAAAGAGAGTTCGTACGCAAAAAACTACCTTACTGCCGTGTAACTTAACTGCAATCTATAAATTATAAATTTTATTTCCTATTTTTCCATCTTCGTAACCGGTAAATTGGCTATCCTTTAAAATAAAAGAAAAGTCCTTTCCGACGCAAGGGCGGCTGTACCGCCGCCCACAAGTCAAGCAGTAACGAAACGTCGTAAGAAAATTGAGCCCTTTTTGAATCAGCCTAATCAAATAGGAGTCGGGGCATGAGAGGGGTCCACGAAATTAAGCCTAACTGATAGGAAATTCGCGTGCACTTTTCGAAGCATCTCCTCTCAGCACTTCAGATGCAAACGGCCTAAATAAGAGAAAATCAAAACAATATTCCGATTTTTTGAGTCGCACAAAAGCAACGCATGAACACGAATGTGTCCTTGACTGATCTTTTCATGTATTAAACATACGTACAGCCACTGAACATGCGATTTATATGTACCAATGGCCGCTTACCTTGACCAACTAATAATGCAATAGGTAGCATTTTCAGCGTACCGTTCGCCAGTCTTCATCAGTAGTCGCAATCACAAACATTTTAAATTTATATTTGATTTGGAACAATTGACTGATACGTGAAGCCGCAGTGACGCAGGACACTCTGGTGTTTTCCAGTTAGTTTACGTACATCCGTCAAATGAAGCAGCTGGATGGGCCGACGATCAACCGTTGTAACTTCCATCGTTCAAGTTGTTGCAGTTCTCTTTACGATGTCCATCTTATCGGGAAGCGAACGGGACCAACTGATTTCCGAGCTCGATTAGCCATTGGATTAGTGCTAGTGAGCTATGAAAGAGCACTCCGCGAACGGCGCGGCTGGTACTGCGCTTTTTACTAATCACTTTATTGTGCTTTAGAGTAACGGTACGTATTTGGCACCTGTGTACGATACACAGTCAGACCAAACTGAACCCATCGAGTGGCAATACAGATGCTACGGTCCCATATCTTGTGTGCGTAATTAGTCCACAATATGCCCGGACGATCCTATATTGTGAAATACCTTGACAGTTTGCAAATTTACGCTAAGAAATGCGCGTGTTGCTTATGAGCAACATAGTTATCGTCTATTTTCCACCAGCGTCACTGGTTCAGCTATACATAGAAGAAATATATCTGGGTATCAGGCGCCATTCGTGCAGTGTGTTTAAAATGAGTCGCTTCTCTTCGTTCCTGCTGTGAAATCAGCAGCTACACTGTATACACCCCTAGATAAATCTATCATAGACCAATAGAACATCTGTCTAATTATTATCCGAATTAAGCGTACAACGTGTTCCCTCTACCGCCTCGTCACCGACTCTCAGGAGTCCTTGATCCTACATTACCTGTTATACGTTGTAGCCTAACGTATATAGGTCGTGGCGCCAGCGAGTGCGCAGTGAAAAATGCTGATGCCCTTATCAGAAAGTGCTTGGAAAGCCTCTCATTCATACGAACGCATGCAAACTTCGACAAAACGCCTGTTCTTCATCGTGCACTATGATTCGTTGTTATTATCATTGATCGCGTATAATACGTTTCGAATGATCGGCTAACATCCAGCTAGCAGGACGCTGACAACAATGGAACAGAAATCGGTCTGACAGTGTCAACAAAAAACTATCTGACGTCGCTAGGGGTGAGCGTGTTCGTAATATAACGGGCACATGCTGAAGTAGCGTTGACTGACACTTGTCCTGCTGCAGTAGTCGACCACAGTGAGTCGGTGAACGTCAACAGTAGCGGTAGCAGCAGCAGCAGCAACAACAACAACAACAATAATAACAACGAAAGCAGCCTAACCTGGGCGATGAAACTGCCTGATAAACCTTGCTTCTTTCTCCTCGTAATTCTTTATGACGGACTTTCCTCACTGCGCTTCTATGCGGCAGATACTAATTTTAATGAACTGTTGCCGTAGATATTGCATCATTTCAACTTATGCCATGCTGCTGCTGCTGCTTTCTACATTCCTGTTACCATGATGGTAATTCGTCGGCAGACGTTGTTGTCTCACGCTTTGCGTCATGTAGCTCTGCCTTTGTCCGGAGACAATATTAGCTGGATGTCGGTTGGTGTCCACTAACTGCTGTTGTCCACAGCCCTGACGATGCTGTACAGCAAAATGCGGCCAAAGCAGCTATAAAAGAAAGGGTCAGCAAATGTAGGAGCAACAGGAGAAATGGTTATGGTAGTAGCATCCGGTGCGTCGCGCGCGCCATTTTGTCTCGACAGTTCTTTGGGGACCCGCGAAGATGTCATCCGATTCATGAGGTGTCTTTAATCCCTTTTTCTAACCTGCAAAACATCATGAAATTGTTAAACAAAAATATGGCAGCTACGTAATATTATATGATAGAATATAATAAGAGGAAGGAGGTCAGGAAAGACCACCATTTCAAAATGCATCAGAGTGCCCTGTTTCTATCAACCACTTAACACACTACAAAACATCTTTGAGTCAAAATATCAGTAGCTCCGGATGGTGTCACGCACGAACCACCTTTTCACCACATCACAATTATACGTAATATGTAATATACGCATGTAGTTTAACATGCTTTTGTTGTGGGCGGTTTTTTCAGGGCTGTTTGCCCACGCGATGACGTCTAGTTAATTTTTCCCTCTATTTGCCTCCGAAGTAGGGCAACGAAGATCGTTCGCCCTTTCAAAAACATCAGAAGGGACAGCAGCAACTACAAGACCATTACAAGATGTGTAAGATGGCAAAATTGTTGCTGATTTGTTCACTGGTTGCCGGCGTGAATTTACATTTGCGCTTATTACCGCTCAACTCGTGTTGGAGGTGCGGGAGGGGGATAAGCAACGGCG